TACTTATGTGGCCCATTAATGAAGTTACTTGGATAAACTTGATAGTCACTTGGTTAGGGCCTTTCAGTAATTAGAAGAGAAAATTAAATCTCAGGATAAGATTGCTTAAAACTTGTGTTAACTAATTTGCTAAATAATGCAAACCTCAGTCTGCTTGAGGAAAAATGAAATTAAGATCTTTCTAGGGTAAAGAATATTCACTGTATCTTTCCAAATGATGTATCACAAAGATTTACCCAATAACAGGAGGTAGGTATTCTACTAAATTAAGGAATATTATATGGTCCATTTTTTTAAAATTCCTTGTCTCCAATTTATAGTCCATAGTCCAAAAGAGATGTTTATTTGTTTGTAGTAAATTAAATTTCACGTTTAATAAGTCAGGAGTCTGTTTGCTTTTTTAGAAAGTATTACCCCTTAGAATTCTCAGTATATCACTATGACAAATATTTTAGGAACTAGCAACTCAGCATATTCTGGGTTGAATATATTTTACTTGATTAAACTGACAACTTTATGTATTATATACTGAGAAAGTATTCTAGTATGCTGCTAGGTTTCCCACTAATTTATGTTTACTTATTTAATGATAATCTTTGTAATCTTGGGTTTGACTATCATGGTGCTGAAAAACAGAAGCATAGAATAAGTACGAATGTATGTCATTCTAAACCTGTAGAAGACTTGTCAGTGACAATTCTAAAGTTAATCAAAGATATTCTCACCAACACTAGTTGTTTGAAGAGTAGCTGGTGACTTTACATTTTGGGTAAGTTTTGTGGTGCTGAAATGTATTTGATACAAAAGAAAAAAAATTAATTTTCAAACATGGTCCCAGTGGGGTAGAGATTAGCCACAAAAGAAGCCAAATTTAATAGAAGTTGCTCAAAATTAAGGTTAACAAGGAAAATGCGTCAAGAACTGACTTCCTTCTAACGTTCTCATGACACTTTACTGACTCACTCATTATTCAGTTTGAATAAGTCACTTAAATTTTTTGTGACTTAGATTCCTAGGTTATGAAATGGGGCTAATTCAGTGCTCCTATTCAATAATTCTACTAGAACTTAAAAGAAAAAACTATTTTTTCTTACAAATAAGTAGATTATCATCTGCAAATTGCCATCTCTAAAGAGATGTATGTTTTTTTCTACGGAAGTGATTTTTATGCTGAGTTCTGTAAATTTGGAGCATTTGGTCTCTGTACTGCCCAGGCAAGACTGTTTTTCTCCGTCTGGGAGTGCACTTCTCCACAGAATTATGAAGGAAGCAGGGCTCAAAGTGTGATGCTTCCTCTCTCCCCAGACCTCACCTTCTCACACCTCCCTTTCCCAGTAAGCCAGGCCGAGCAGAGGCCCAGGCTTGGCACCTGACGGCTCAAAAGTCACCCGTTGCTGTGCTCGAGTAGTGAGAAATTCAGTCTGAAGAAGTGAAGCGTCACTGTGTTCATTCGGGAAGTAACTGTGCCTTGGCAGCGTCCCGGGCCTGGTAATTAGCAGGGCTTGTGTAGCGTTGTGTGCGGGCCAACGTGCTAGCAACACAGCAACAAAACGGAGGTGTGAGAATTTCTGTCTTATCCAAAGTGGTTAAAATGGGGCCGTAACAGAAAGCAAGGTTTTTCTTCCCAAGAAAGGAACAGCAGCAAGTTTAGAGTCTTTTTCTATGTGTTTAAGACACAGTCACATGTTTCGTGGTTAAGAATGGCTTCTCATGTTAAATAAGTTCATTCCCCAGGTACCTTCTCCTTGAGGCACGGACCAGATGGATTATGTCCCATTTTACAATGACTGATGGAGAATTACTATGCTCTTTTATTGCTAAAAATGTCTCAGTGACTCAGTACTTTAGGGCTTATGCATAGATAATGTGATAAAATAAAGGCATATGGTAGATGAAAGGGTTTGACTCTCTTTGAGGTCTGATTTTCAGATTTTTCAATTGCTAACTTTCCCACTGTTTGAAATCCTGAAGCTAATCCACATTTTTAAAATATCTGTCTTAACAGTGTTCTTTAAAAATGCAAAATGAAAGTGATTTGGAACATTGTCTTTCATTTATTTGATTAAATATTAATTTTTTGCTTTCTATTTGTAAAGGCAGTTTTCTGGTAGTGGGTAGAAAGAAGTATGTAGTCTGTCCTCATTTTTTAAGAGTTTATCATTGACTTAGGAAGGAAAAGATACTACAGGATATTGATAAATACCAAGTAAATTATACAGGCGGACTTGTTACAGATGTTAAAAGGAGCGAGAGAACACTTCTGGCTGGGATGCTCAGGGATGCTGGGGAAAAAATGGACCTCCCGTGAGCCTTGCAGAATGGGAAAACTATGACTGGTAGTGGAGAAAGGGACGTTTCATTGGCTGAGGGTCATGGAAGTAGGGTCTGGCATGGCATGTCCAAGAGACAGTGAGTAGACTATGGCATAGCGTTTAGGAGCACAGACTCTGGAGCCAGACTGCCTGGGTTAAGGATTGCCCTTTATTTGCTGTGTGTCGTTGGGCTGATTTCTTAACCTCTCTTTGCCTCAGATAGACTAAAAAATGGTGCTAATCGTGCCTAAATCATAGAGCTGTTATAAGGATCTGAGAATAGTGCCTTCAGATAGTGATGCCCAAATTAAATATTAAATAAGTACAATCGAGTATGTTGATGAGGACAGGGATGTAGGTGAGCATCAAAGACAAGGCTTTAGTGAAGATTAGGGTGCACTCACTGAGGAACCGGACTGTCAGGACTGCGTCTAGTTTGCAGTGGGGAGTTACGGAAGCTTTACAAGCAAGTAAATAGGACCAGAGTAGTGTATTTGGAAAAGGAATCTAGCAGAATAGGTTGAAAAAGAGACAGGCAGCAGAGAGGCTGGTTTGGAGACTTGTAACTGTCCAGGCTTGAGGGATTCAAGACCAGGACTCAAAGGATAGAGCGTGGGTTTGGATTAAAAAGAAGGGACAGACCTTGGAAACATTTACAGTGAAACAGGTGTTAGCATCTGGGGACTAACTGTCAGGGCTGTAGGAGGCAGAGGGCTGCGCCTGAGTACGTGTGAGAATCCAAACCTATAGGAATTCTTAGGAGGAGCTGGTAGTGTGTGCAAGAAGGTGAAATCCGTTTTGCATGTCTTGAATTTAAAGACAGGAACAGGTTTTGGCATTGAAAAATGCATATCAGGCGCTCCGAGGGAACTCAGGCCTGGAGATAGAAATTGAAGGCTCACAGAGGAGGCAGTTGTGCTGTGCTGAGGTAACGAGGAAGAGAATGTGCAAAGTGAATATTACAGTGATTTTCTTTCCCATTTCTATAAGGGAAAATGTGAGTCCAAGAGAATGAAACCATGTTCCTAGTCCAGTTGACTCACTGGAAGCATGGGCAATAGTAGGCTCCCTGGCCTGTGAAGTGCTGTTTGACAGCTCAAGTGCCGGGCGGAGCACTGTAGGAGATGTGCTGTGTTTATAAACGGGGTTTCTGGATCTGTAATTGCACATCATTACAAACAGGCTTTCTTCCGGTGAGGGAGAGTTATCCTTTCAGTTTTCCTAATTAATCCTATCCAGTTCTAACCACAACTTTAATATGTATCCTGTCAATATGCACACAGACAGACAGACACTGTGTTTATTTATTTATATGCTTTTCTTAAAAGTTGTTCCTTTTAAACCTTTTCAATGTCTTTTTCTTCCCTTGCATTTTAATTGCCTATGGGTAAGGAGCAGGCCTTCCATTGGTTTCCATCCCTCACAGTTTTCACATTCATTCATTAATGTGTTGATTCCAGTTTATTTATTCATTTCAGATACTGTATTAGTTCTAGGGTAATGAATAAGACATAGTTCCTGCCCTCAGGGAGCTTTCTATCTAGTTGGAGAGGAAAAGATACATATATGTTGTAAAAGCAATAATAAAGTCATGCAGAGAAAATTATGAGAACGTGGAGGAGAAACATTTAATGTGGATTATGTGGAGGGTACAGTGGGGAAAGGTGGTTTAGGGAGGATTTTTGGAGCAGTGGACTTCTGGGCTGAATCATAAACAATAAGTAGTGGTTACTAGGTAAATAGGAAGAAGGGTAGAGAAATGACAGTGATGACAGCCTGCGCCTAGACAGGCGCAGTCACAGGAAAAAGTGAGGCAGTCTGGTATTGCTGTCACATACAGAGAGAGGCCGAGAGCCGTGCAAGAGGAAGCTGGGGCCAGGCAGAGACCACGGGACGGACCCGGATGCAGCACTCAGAAGCGTGGACTGCATTCTATGGTTAAAGAAGAGGGAGATCCTTGAAATGGTTTATGCAGAGTTGTGGTTGGCTAAGATTTCAGTCCTAGGTGGCAGCTGGGAGGATGAATTTAAGGAGGACTAGACGTTTGGCAGTTAGTCCAGGTGGAAGATATTGAGGATCTAAACCAGGACAGTAGTGCGGGAATGGAGGTGGGGGACGCAATCAGGAACTCTGATGTAAAATCAGCAGGATCCGTTGTACCATCCGATGGGGGACGGGAGGCCCTAAGGTAATTCTCAGGGAGCTCTTGTCATGACTGGTGACTGATTTCAGTCTACTGAGAGAATACGGAAGAGAAAGAAGGACAGTGAGTTCGTTTTTGGTTTTGTTATCTTCAACACACTGAGATTTCTAATGTGCCTGTGAAGTATTTGGAGTTAAATCTAGTTAATGGTTAGCCGAGGTGTCTGGATGACTGGAAGGGCCTCACTGTCGATGTTCGCCGTAACCACACCTCCTCTTGGAAGCAGAGGTGACTCTGCTTTTCCTACAACCCTGTGCAGTCGGCTGTCGTGTCTCTTTCACTGTGTGGTAATCCTGGATTTTCTTTTCTAATTATTTCTGTAGTCACAGTCCAGTGTTTGGTACATAACCTCTCTATAAATGTGAGTGAGTGAGTATATAAGCAAGTGAATAGATTATTTTTTTAAGTAGTATTATCATTTGATTATTAGAAAAAGTTTATATTTGGCTTATTCTCGTTCTGATCCTTCTGTATTTTAACCCCAGCACCTTCCACTGGAAGAATCTCAAACAGTGCGACTTCCTCAGGAGCAGGGGCACCAGCCAGCTCAGCAGGGGGGCAGCCCCAGCCAGGCGACCAGGATACTCTAGTGCAGAGAGCCGAGCACATTCCAGCTGGGAAGCGGACCCCAATGTGCGCCCACTGCAACCAGGTCATCAGGTTGGTTGTTTGTTTTTGAAATTTTCTTGAAAGTACTTAATACCAGTATGGATTTCTTTTTAATATTCTGAAAGATTTGAAATTTTCTTAGTGAAAATATTCTTGGCCATATTTCTATGTAATAGTTATTACTGAAATAGATAAATATGAATATATATATTTGTTAGAATCTATTTTAATGAAAAGTAATTCTGAGCTCTGTGAAAATAAAACTAAAAATGCCCATTTTGTCAGTTATTAATTCCTATCAGAACTAAGGAAAAATAATGATTAATGTGGCCCTTCAGAGAATAAAATTTTAAGACTTGAAGGGACCCTTAGGATCATTTATCTGAACTTCATTATTTTACAAATTATAAAAGTGAGGACTTTCATTCAGATGAAAAATGACTAGTGACATAAAATAAAGAACTTTGAGCCCTAGAGAAAAGAAATTGGATTTTCAAATACCTAAGCACTGAGAGATATAATTACCTTCAGATCTATTCATTAATGCTTTAAATATTAGATCGGTCATAACCTGCTTCTTTAAAATGTTTTTTATCCAAATCTATTTTATTGTCTCTTAAATTCCAAGAAAGAAAAAAGGCCCAGAGATCTTAAATGAGTGTACTATCCTGGCACTTACTAAATCTCTGAGCATTTCTTAATAAGTGGCTTTTAAACCGTTAGGAGGTAGAGGTGTGGGTGTTGGCTCCAGGGAGCCCCCCAGCAGGACCTTGTTCCCTCTTGGTGAGTGGCTTTGTTGGCAGTGACAAATGATCGGTTGAAATGACTGCTCAAGCTCTCTCCTCATTTTTAATTTATCCTGTTTTGAAATGGTTGAAACAATGGCTTCCCTAAAGTTGAATGAGGTTGAGACTTGCTTGCATTTTCCCTGCCTCTGTTACATAATTATTGTCTAGGATAATGTTTCTAGTTAATACTCAAAATGGAGACAAGCCTCACTACCTTATTTAAGAACCAGACATAAATACTCTCCTCCTTAACCATTAAATAATAAATGTGTCAAGAATACAGCACACAGTACGTGATTACAAATAAAATAGCTTTTGTATTTTAAAGGTAGTCCATGTTCATTGTGACGTTTCAAAAATATAGAAAAACAGAAAGCAAAAATAAAAGTTCATTCATAATTTCACCTCCCCAGATAACTGCTGTTAATATTTTAGTTCACACTTGAAAACACACACACAGAAGGACAGATGTTTTACAGAAATGGAATCGTGATATCGTATTTTGCAAGCTGTTGTTTTTCACTTCTGTTGTGTTTTCCTCAGTGAGTACCTGCTTGGTAAGAGCTAGCCAGTGGCGCTGGGGCTAGTGATGGTGGTTATGGGGAGAAGGAGAGAGTCAGTAGAGGTTTCAGAGTCGAGTGCAGTGTCCAGCACCCAGAAGGCGCTCAGTGAGCGTGTGACTTGAAGAGATCACACGTGACTCCGGACTTGCCATCGTTCAGGCCATAGTGTCGATTTGGCTAGAGTCATTTTCTGGACAGTACTACTTTAGGGTTACTGCCTCACAGAAATATTTAAACTGTTAGAAAATCTAGTGTAGTATTGCTTTGTCCCCAAAGCGAAACAATGTTTTTAGTTACTAACTGTATTTTTTAAGTTTAATATTAATAAAGTAAAAGCTCTGACTTGTAACATGTTTCTGTAAGTTAGGGCACTTTGGTTACCTAGACTGGTATTTAGGGATAAAATATTCTGGATAAAAACGCCGTTATGAAGACAGGATTCACGGCTGCTATTTGTGTGCTGTTGTAAGCAAGTAATTACTGGATGGGTTAACAAAGCGTCAAACTGTATAAGTTGCTGATTTCTTCTTGTTGTGTGATTATCAAATTCTGTAACATCCTGTAATCACTACAGCACATCTGAAAAACTTAGTATGAAGAAAATATGAAGATCAAAACAGAAATTACATTCCCCACCCATACCTTCCTTGGTTTCAGTTTTAATGCTAGACCAGGATGTAATTTTAATGCATCATCTTCCTGCCATGTGAAATAAATATATATTATGTTAACAACATGAATGGCCACCACTTACTGCCCCCTCATCTGTTAAATTTTATATTGTCTGGATTATACCAGCACTTGTTATCAGTTAAGCGTTAAAGCTTCATCTCCTAGGGAAGTTAATAGGACCAGGTATTAGTTCATGTCAAGCTCATATAACAGTAATTAACGTGCGCATTTGCTTGGTGCTCAAGTGCTACCGCAGCTTGAATAGATTGTGGTCAGTTCACAGACCTCATCAAAGTATAATTCTAGTTCTTGGCCTCGGTTTTCAGTATCACTTACCAGAGCAGGGAGCCTTAGATCAAGTGACATTCTCTTGGACACCTGTTTTAAAAACAAGCTGCAGTTGCAGGCTTGATAGTTTGAATATAGAATACTGCAACCTGGCAAACTCTGAGAAGTTTAAGATTCCTTTATAATTTATATTATTTGTTTGTAATTTATATTGTTTTATTTTGTATTTATTTTCTAAATATTTAAAATTTTCAAAAACATTTCTAAAGAAAATATATTAAAAAGGGAAATCCATTTTGGTGGATTTTGTTTGTTTTAACAAAGTTAATTGTTTTTGGAAAACCTCGGAAACCTAAATCACTCAACATTAATACTGAACTAGATATCTCTTATAGAACATATTTAGCTTAAAATTATACACATCATTTTATTTGGATCTAATGTTTAAAATTTTTTGGTTTATTTGAACCTCGAAAAGATTATACGTGTTTTGCCTAAATTGTATTGTTTAGGCATTACTTGGATTAGTTGCTTTTACATATGGATAGGGTGTTAAATTTTAGGAAATTTTACTGAAGCCTTGACTAAGGTTGCTTTGGAACATTTCCAGTCTGTTTATGATGGAAGTACCATGCCTTTGACCTTTATATTCATGAATGGACTGACTGTTGGAGTGCTGGTATAAAGGGAAATAGAAAATCAGGCTAATTTGGCCAAAACCACATTTTAGTGTCCCTTATAGAATGGGCTTATCAAAACTCTACCTTATTTCTTGAGTGTTACATCTAGTGGCATTAAAATCTATTGACCACTTGTATTACTTGGAGTTAAATGCGCCATTCACATTTAGCTTCTTATCATCTTTGTGAAAGACAGAAAGAATTTATGGTGCTCGAATTTCTTCTTAGATATAGACTGCTTTAAAAAAATAGCCACAATCCTATTGTTCCGTCTTTGCCTGCAGCACAGCATCAGAACAATTGCAGTCAACCCATTGTTTAATCCAGTGAGAGGGAATTTTAACATTATTGATTTGTTTCTTGCTCAGTGATTTTCAAACTTTGCTTATAAGCAGAGCCATCCCCGTTACCCCAAGGAGAGGCCTCAGAGTTTTTTGTCTGTCTCACCATCCATTTCAATCTCTGACCGCTCTTTTATTAATAGGTTTTATTTTCCCTTCTGGTTAAGATTTTACTCGAAAACAAAAGCTTTCTTGGCTTAATATGTTAGCTCCTGAATTTAAGGAAACAACCAAAGACACAGACCAAGATTTATGAGCAAGACGTAGACCAAGGTTTCAGATTTACTGTAGTGAAAAATGCGAATGAACATAAATCTTCAGCATCTATGTGATGTAATATTATAGTGCCATTAAGATCCTGTTTTCAGATAATAACAATAATTGTTTAATGTGTTCTTAGCATATGCCGAATGTTACCCTAAGAATTTTTCCTGAATTCTCATAATAACTCTGTGAGACCATTGCTGTTATTGCCTTAATTGCACAGATGAGAAAACTTAGGACAGAGAAGTTACGTATTTGCCAGAAGTCACATAGATAGTAAATGAGAGAACCTGAATTTGAGCCCAGATCTAACTTTAAATTTTATTCATGCTTTGAACTATAACTATTTAAGAAAATGTTTATAGTATTATATTAAGATAAAAAAAAGAAGTACAGAACTCTAAATAAAGTATGGTTCTAATTTTGTGTAAAGAAAATAGACACCAAGATATATTAATATGTGTACTATACATAACTATTATGAAGATGTATACATATAATCATATATGCTACTGTATTAAATCAGGGAGAAAAAACAGCTTAAGGAGACCTGCCTTAACTTAAGAGTGTAGCAGTGTACTTTTCTTCATAATGTTTGAATATATATAAGTGAGAAAGACGAGAGTAAATAATAGATAGATTGAACAATTAAAGGTTCTTACCTCCCCGCCAAAATGACTTTGTACCACATGCACGCATTCTTACACTCATATAGATAGCCTGGGGTTCACTTTTCCGGTTTCTTATCTAATGTAGAAATATAGTCATTTTATAAGCAACATTCATTGGGTAGTTTGTGTGCCACCACTTTTAGGCACCACTGATATAGAACTCACAAACATGTTCCTTTGGCTTAGTCCATATTATGGACTGAATTGTGGCCTCTGCCGAAATTCATATTGAATTTGATAGGGTTCAAGACGTAACCCCCAGAACCTCAGAATGTGACTATATTTAGAGATAGGGTCTTTAAAGAGGTAAAGTGAAGTCATTAGGGTAGACCCTAACCCAATATGATTGATGTCCTTATAAGAAGGAGGAGATTAGGACACAGACGCCCATAGATGGCCAGCTCTAAGCCAAGGGGAGAGGCTTTAGAAGTTAACCCTGCCGACACCTTGATCTTAGACGTCTAACCTCCAAAATTGTGAAAAAACTAATTCCTGTTGTTTAAGCCACCCCTGCTGTGGTACCTTGTGAAGGCAGCCCAACAAACTAATACAATTAAACACTCCAGTAAAAAATACAAACAGGCAAATCAACGACCATGTCAACGTGGTAAATCTGATAAGATAGATCCAGAATCCTATTGGTGCGAAGGGGAGAGGGGATTATCCAGCTTCAACAACCAGTTTCTTTTGTTTGAAAGGAATGGCTAACAATTAAGGTTCAATAGTCTACTTATAAAACAACACTTTTATACAACAAAAGAGACAGTAGTCATATTGCGATATA